GGCTGGAAGAAATCACTGAATAACCACCCAGCTTTGGCAGTGCAGACATTCTGATAAACCCACACTTGCGTTTTAGAATCCCTTTCACATATTGCTTTTATCATTTTTAATGCCTTGAAAACAAGGGTAAAGCGAAAAATCTTCATGCAAGCCTACAGCTTGCTACTCCACCCAAGCTTCTATTTTTTAGTTCTACTCTATTCATATTATCAGACTTATATACAAATCAGAAATAATATGAATTATGAAAAACAAAGATTCCCTTTGCTTTTAGAGGACAGCTGGGAAATAATAGAACATGCTTTTTAAAAACAGAAAAATTTTTTTTTTCATAGTAGCTAATATTCCCTCTTTAGGCATTAAGACATTTCTGTTTGAAACCTTAAGTCATATTTTTACACTATAAAAATCAATTCTCCCATAAAAACAGGGTATTTCATTCTAATCTTAAATTGGGTCACTAAAATGTAGTTAATGCACACCAATTTCTAATCATTCAGAACATTCTGTACCGCAGAATTTAATCACTGGAACAGTTGCTCCGGAAAGCAGCAACTGCCTCAGCTGTGCTGTGAGCCGGTAGTCTATGTTGTTTTCCAGTGAAAAGGTTTTGTAACCACACACACTGGGTTTCTCGTGGTTTCATCGATCAAGGGAGCATTTCTGAGCAGCTTCTGAGCCAACATTTCTGAGTAAGTTGATCACAGATCTGGGATCTTCACCCCTCATAGTGGTGCTGCCGGACACAATCACGTTAGCTCCCGCCTCTGCACGTTTGTGGACAGTGTCAGGACCTATACCACCGTCGACCTCTATGTCCAGAGATGGAAACTGGGTCCTCAACCAGTGGACCTTTGGCATCATGCCTTCCATGAATTTCTGTCCTGCGAACCCAGGTTCTACTGTCATGACCAAGGCCATATAATTTGGTTAGCCCATGGTGCCAAATACTCAACTCTAGTTCCTGGTTTGATGGCAAGGCCAACCTTCACCCCATTCTCTCGGATATCTCTGATCAAAGCCCCTGAGTTGTCCGTAGCCTCAAGATGAAAGGTATATTGATTGGCTCCTGCTACAGCCATTGGCTTCACCCACTGTTCTGGCTTGGTCACCATCATATGCATGTCAAAGAAAGGGTCCTGGCCTAGCTGCTTTCGGAGGCTTTCTACCACAGGGTGACCAAAGGTGATGTTGGGAACAAAATGCCCGTCCATTACATCCAGGTGCAGCTAATCGGCCCCGGAGTCTAGCATCCGGAGACACTCGGCCCCTACGTTGGCCAGGTCGCTGTTCAGGATGGACGGGCCAATTTTGCAGCCCAACGCCATGGTGTCGCTTCCCTAAAACTGATTTATTTATCTTTTGAGACCAGGTCTCACTCTGCAGCCTGTAGTGAAATGCTTGGATTTCTTTCTCATTTCCTTTTATGTATTTATTTTATTTTTATTTTTTGGTGGACTCAGGGATTGAACTCAGGCCCTTGCGCTTGCCAGGGAAGTGCTTATTCCACTGAGCCATCTCCTTGGCCCTTTCATTTGCATATATGTATATATAATCTGTTGGTATTTTCTTTGTGGTTGCCATGGGTATTGCATGTGACAACCTAAAGTCATAATGCTCCAACCTGAATTGATGCTGGATTACCGGTAATAACAGTAAAAACTCAGCTCCTTTAAAGCTTGGGCTCTAATTCTGTGGGGTACTGACATCACAGCTGTGTGTCTTTCTTCGCTGTGGGTCCGATGCATATGTATTAACAATTCTTTTAGTCTCCTAAATTATTAGTGTCTTACGTTATGTAGAAACAAAATGTGGCATTGCAAATGCAAGTGATACTAATAGTAGCCTTTAGACTATTATTATTATTTTTTAAATGTATTAGCTGTCAGGCTCATCTTGCCCAGCGCGCAACCTGTCTAGCAGCAGTTCTCAGAAAAAATCTAGCTCAGCACCGGTGCCGTGGCCCTTGGCAAACACAGGATGTTATAAAAGAAGAAATAAAACATGGAACCTTCCCAGCACCAGGCCACCTGATAACATCTGTATATTCACAACGGATGCTCCAAGGACTTTGACCACTGAGACGCCAGACACACCTTGACCTCGGAAGTTTGCTCAGAGCTTAGCGGACCCCTGGCCTGATCTACCCACTTGGACCTCCTTGTTCAAGCCCTATGAAAGGCTCTGCTTCTCACAGATGGCCCTTTCGCCCTCTGTCTGCCTGCACCCAGGCACAATAAATTCCACATCACGTTGCCTTTACGTAAGCCGGGGGTCTCTGGTGGTCTCTGACTCACACGGTTCCTTACATGAGCCTCTTAAATCACATGGAAAACAAAAAGGGGAATTATAAGCCATCAGTGCCATAACTTTTATTGTTATACTGTTATAAAATCTTTTATAATAATTTCCCCTGCATTTATGTTTCTTGAGGTCTTTATTTCCTCACCAGCTTTGAACTATTGTCTAGAGTTCTTTCATTTTGACCTGCAGGTAGATCTTTCTGTGAGGATTTCTTACAGGCCGGTGTGGCTGTAACAAACCCAATTTTAGAGAAAGAGAGAGAAAGAGAGAGAGAGAGAGAAAGAGAGAGAGAGAGAGAGAGAGAGAGAGAGAGAGAGATTGAGAACTTGTGTGTCTTGTGTGTGTCTTGTGTGTTCCTGCCTGGGGTTTGTGGATTTTGCTGGCCTAAGTGCAGGTGTGGGCTAAGTGGGAATGTAAGGCAACCTGTGACCGGGCCACACAAATTGGGGGTAGCAGGTACTGTGCCTGGATGTTGAAGTGTTGAAGGCTAAGTAGCTGGTCGTGGTGGTGCTTGCCTGCAATCCCAGCACTTAGGAGGCTGAGGCAGGAAGATCTCTGCAACCTCAAGGCCAGCCTAGGCTACATAAGTGAGTTCAAGGCCAGACTGGACTACAGAGTGACATCTTCTCTCAAAAAAAAAAAAAAAAAAAAAAAAAAAAATCAGTTGAAGGCTAAACTAGACAGTACAAGCCGGGCTATCCGTTGGGAGGCAGAGTGCTGTGGCTTCTGCTCTGCTGTCCTCCCAGAATCCTATCCTCAGGTTCAATTTCAAGCCTAATGGGTCTTTTGCAGTGCAGCCACCTACTGAGTCAGGAAAGAGTCCTCTCTCCTACATCCCAAATACATCTCATCTTTGGGAAGCTGGGCCCAGTAATTCATACTTCATGGCCCAGTACTTCTGCTGTTCCATTCCCCAGGGCAGGGATGTAGGACTTTTCTGTGTGCTTAGTACAGCACCTGCCTGAACAGCTGTGCTCCCCTCTCCAGAGCCCGGTGCTGCCGTAACGGAGCAGGTGAGTGGGCAATCTAGGGTGGGCAGAATGCACCTGCTGGCCACCTCGGGGGAAGTCAGCCAGGGTCAGGAAGCTGGTGTCTGCTGAGGGGCTCCTTCCGTGAAGCCGCACACAGAAGGCAGGTGCGCAGGCCAGGACCGGAGGGCTGAACTCGCCCTTTAGAATGGCGCAGACCCACCTGGAGGTGGGGTGCGCGGCTGGCGCAGCTCCCAAAGGCCCTGCCTCTTAACGCTGTTTCAACAGCAGTGAGATTTCACTGTGGCTTTAGGAGCGGATGCACGCTGGACCACAGCAATAACGTGATTGCAATGGCTTTGATGCTATTGTACAGTACCAGCTCCCATCAGTAACAGAAAGTCTGTACCAGGCAGCACCAATCACTTACGGATTAACTATCTCAGATTCACAAGGACCCCAGGACGGGGGTACTTCTAAAGAGTACCCACTTAGCCATAAACTGAAAACAGCTACCAAGCAGCACATTCTTAGGGAGATGGAGGTATGGATGCCTTCGCCGCCGCTCACAGGACCACACGCTGGGAGGTGGTTATTGCCCAGGGAGGGTGGGGTGTGTTTCTATTTGTTGGAAATTTGAGATCCCACTTCCAGCACCCCACTGGGTCTCCTGGGCCATGTGGAAGGTGCCTGAGATGCTGAGCCAAGTGAGGGGAGCAACTCGAGCTTCCTGATGTCTCACTTCGTGCCCCCACATTCGATTACGTTACATTTTTTTCTTTTTGGTAAAACGCGTCATTTTAGTTCTGATGACAAACAGTAAGCATTTTTAAGCAGGGTGTGGTGGCGCCCACCTGCAATCCCAGCACTCGAGGAGGCTGAGGCAGGAGGATTGTTGTGCGTTGGAGACCAGTCTGGGTTACAAAATGAGCTCAAGGCCAGCCTAAGCAGCATAGCGAGGCCCTGTCTCAAGAAGACAAGGGGAGGGCTGGGGAGATAGCTCAGTAGAATAAGCGCCTGCCTGGCAAGCTTAGGGTCCTGAGTTCAATCCCAGGTACCACAAAAAAAAAAAAAAAAAAAAAAAGACAAGGGAAAAATAAAAAGAGTAGCCTTTTCACATGGTTTTAATACCCTGAAACTTCCAAGAATGGATCTATTAGAACTCCTTTCACCAGAGTTGCTGAGCACGACAGAGAATCAGGTCGCAGGGGCGATGCCACAGGTGGACCCTTTTGGAGGAGCGGCAGAGCGCACAGGTGGAAGCAGTCGCCCTGGCTGCACTAGAAAGCTCAGAGGACGCTGCTGGGAACTCACAGACTAAACGAGCGTCAAAGAAGCAATGCCTTTCAAAGGACTTTTTTTTTCTTTTTGAGAACTTGCACTTCTGCAGTTCGTAAAGCTTAAACTTGCAGGAAGATGTCTTCTGCGCCACCCGTCCTTAGGAAGCCAGAGCCTCTGCGGACCGGATGGGGCGTCGCTGAGCTTCCCGGAGCCGGTGACCCCGTCTGGGTCTGGGGCCACTAGCGGGACAGCCGGGTCTCAGTCCGAGCGCACCGGGCGGGTCCGAGTGCGGGTGCGGAGCTGTCTTGTCTGCCCGGGGTGCCGTGTCCCCGCGAGGGCGCTCGGCCGGGCAGTCTGCAGCGAGGTCCGGCCGGGTCGGGACCTTCCCCGCGGGGTGGGGACCGCGCTCTCCCCGCCCCAGCCTCCGCCCCGGGCGGGGCGCAGCGGCCGAGCCCCGGGCCAGCGGGGCCCAGCGCACTCGCGGCTGCCAGCGGGCGGAGGCTGCGCGCACCCCGGGTAAGAGGCTCCGGTCGGGGCCTGCGGGCGGCCGGGCGAGGGTGCTGGCCCCGGAGGTCAGAGCCCGGGGGGCGGAGGGCCACCTGCGGGAGGGTTAGAGCCCAGCTCCGTTCGTGGCCGCAACAAACAGCCACAGACAAGAACCTGCCCCAGGTGTCCGCGGTCGTGCTGCGTGGGGTTTGGCATGCGGTGGCGTCCGGGGCTCCGCTGCGTCCGATCGCGGGGACCGCGGAGGCAGAGGTGGCAGGGGGAGGTAGGTGCAGCTGGGGCCTCTGTCCCCAAAACCCCAGCCGGGGTTTCACCCAGGCCGAGCTTCTGGATTTGTGATGCGCCGCCCACCCCTCTAATGCCAGGTTCTGACCCATTTTTGCGCCAGGCGCCCCTTTGGCACCATGGGAAGACGAAGGACCCTTCTCAGAGTAGTACTTTCCAAGGTATAAGTCAGAAGAAACCAGTTGTGAAACACTTGTCAAAACATTGCAAAGAATTTATGACATAATATGTACTTTGAATAAATGAATCTTATTAAATAAGACATAGAAGTGAATCTAATAGCTGTCATATTTTTTTTCTCCGAATGCCTTCAGGGCAGGTTTGGCTGGCTTGAGTTGTGGGGCTTGAACCACAGCAACCTGAGCCTGACAGCTTTGTTGAAGCAGCCACTTAAAGAACTGAGCTAAGGGCAGGCCCCCTTAATTTTTTTATTCTTTACATTTTGATTAGTATATGTTTGTAATGCATAATAATCGCATTCATTATGGGCAGTTTTTACACGTCCAGGACACCTCAATTCCTTTCACTTTCCTTTCTTACCCTGGCTAGTCTAAATTTTTAAAGTAGTTATTTATGAGACAGGAGCTTGCTATGCAGTTCAGGCTGGCCTTGGACTCACTTTGTAGCCCAGGCTGGTCTTGAACTCACAAGGATCCTCCTGCCTCAGCCTCCAGAGTGCTGGGTTTATAGGCGTGGGCCACCGTGCCCTGCTACTACCCTAATTTTGAAATAGTGAAGAATGTGAAGTGTTTTAAGAGACTAACAACACTGTATCTGATTTCTACTGGTGACACATGCCGTAGATCATGCTAATGTGGCTCTGACTTCCTGGAAGAAAAGGTCAAATTTCAATTAGATGACAGCGCAGAGAGGTAAACTTCCCATCCATGCTCCCCAGCCTTGGTTTAAGATCCCGCCACAGTGGAGTCTGCTAATCACTTGTCTTCTGCCCTCGACCCTTCTGTTGATGATGACGTCTCCTTGGTTTTGAATTTCTTTGAGTCTCAGCTTCTTTATTGTACAGTAGCAATAAGAACACCTCCCCTCATATTTAGGAGACTTGACATAGTATCTGGTGCAGAAGTGTGAACCCGTCTCCCAGTAGACCAGTGATTGTGGGCCTTTTAGAGCTGACCACCCAGACAGCCAGCCCTGGCCCACTTATTTATCAAACAATGCCAACACCACAATTCAACCTGAATACTGAGGTGCAGTTAGAGAAAATGACTCTACATTAATTTTTTTTGTCTTAAAAACAGTAATAGAGTTTTAATGATGCAGACAGCCTTTTACTGAGAGGCAGAAGGTTGCACTTGGCGTGCTTTTGCTCAGTGACTGTGCTCTTTGTCGTTGTACGCATGCTGATAATTTGTCATACCTTGGCTGGGGTGACTTGGTGTGCACCAAGAGAGGGCTCTGTGTGTCCTCTGCCACACGTGTGCCACAGTGTCACCATCACTGCCTAGAGTATGGCTATCTTGTTGTACCCCAAACGTGGTCCATGGGAGGTACCCGATGCATATTTATTGAATGGGTATGTGGGGTGGAGAAGGTTGTTTACAGCTGCAGCTAAGATGAAGTGCATGAAGGAGACAACTCATGCTTTGGGAAATGGCCCTGTTTAAGTTTAGAGCTCTTCTTCCTCCTCCTCCTCCTTATGGAAAAAAAAAATATACAGAAGCACATCTGAAACTGGAGAAACCGGAGGCTTGAACTCTCAGGGACTATGGCTCTGTGTGATTGGGGTTCTGCCAGAGAGAATGAAATCGGGTGTGGAAAGGAAAGCAGGACCCCTTTGCGGAGGTGTCTTCTCTGCCTGGCCTGGGTCTAGGCTCCTTAATGGGGAGTTGGCTTGGAAATGTGTGGTAAGGAATGAAGACAGACCCTGAGGAGGTGCTTCCGGGCCAAGATGTTCCTTCCTCTTTCTCTCCACTTCCCCTGCTCCCAACCCACTGCAAAGCACTTTGATTCTGGAGATGTGGTAACCAGGAGCAGGGTGAGTAGTTTAGCAAAAGCTGCCTACACTAGGCCTGAACCAACTAGTTATTTCTTTTTTTTTCTTTTGGTACTGGGGATCAAACTGGGGACCTTGTGCTTGCTGGGCAGGTGCTTATGCTGCTGAGCTTTCTCCCCGGATCAACTAGTTACGTCTTAATTCCCAGCTTTAAAAGTCTATGCCGTCTCATAAATGTGGATGGCAGCAATAATGATAATAAGGAAGAGTGTAACCAAGTCACCATTTTTCTGTTTGCTTTGCGCAAGTGCCCAACTATAGTAGAAGAGGGAGGAAAAGTTTCTCAAGACAGGAGATTTAGAACCATGCATTTGGGAAGGGCAGCTGCTATCACTGTGGACTGACTTGGTCCCTGCTCACCCGCACTCTGCTGTTGAGATCCTTACCTGCAGCACTTTAGGAGGTGGCTGTCTTAGGAGACGAAGCCCCAGAGTGGTCGTTACATTGTTAGATTACCGGAGTGGGGCCACAGCCCACTGTGGTTGGGGCTCTGGACAGAAGAGGCACTAGGGCGTGGGGGTGGCAGGGAAAGGCCAGGTGAGGACGGAGAAGAGCCAGCCACCTGCAGGCCCAAGAGCAGCCTAGGAGAAGCCAGGCTGTCCTGCCGTCACCTCTCATCTCGCTCTTGACGACTGCTGAATGCTGCTGAGGGGCCTGCCTGAGGTCGTAGAGTCTCAGCAGGCCTCCTGATTCTCATCACTGCCCTCAGTGGGTGTCTCAGGCTGCCGTGGGTCACACAGTAGGTGCTTCCTAAGTGTGTACTGGGTGCTGGTGTTGATGACCGCCCGTCACACCAGAAGGAAGCTCCCTTCTGATCGCCGTGTGTTTCCCTGTGTCAGCCTTGGCGCCACTCTGGGGAGCTGTTGTTCTGCCCACTGGACAACCAGCAGCTTTAGCCCATCTGTACGAGTGGAGAGCAAATCTGTGTCCACCCTGGGCATGGCCTCTGGCTTCTTCCAGAGAGGCCTGGATAGTGGGGAATGGGCAACATCACTCTGTGATGATGCTTTCTTGATATGACTTTGTTTTCCCAGCTGTGTGTTTGAAGATGGCCCATGATGTCTTTGCAGCAAAATGTGCCCTCGAAGCCCTTTGTTGAGACTGTAGCTTGCCAGTTCTCCCCAAAGAAGTGCTGTTGCTGTGCCTCTCAGGGGCAAGGGTCCGACCCAGGAGCTGGGCGAGAGGCCAGCCCATTCTCATGGCTTCTGATTCGGAGGGTGATTGTGGAACTCCCAAAGTCTAGGCGATCAAATCCAAGATGCTGGTTTTGAATCATAGAGGAAGAAGGGTCTTTCAAGTCCAGAAGGGACATCCGCTTATTCTCATCAGTGTGGCTGATTTGCCATGGTCCCTCACGGTCCCACCATCTCCTTCTGGTCATGGTTGATACTTCCCACCTCTCCGGTGGTGTGAGGAATTGTGCAAAGTGTCTGTCACAGTGTCTGTCACACAGCAGAGCTTCCAGGTGCTGCTTTGCCCGAAGCTTTCATGCTGCCTGGCACTGGGCATCCACCTGCAGCTGCTACCCAGTGAGTTGTAGTGGATAATGGTGCTGCTTTGGGACTCTGGGGAGGGACTGGGAGGTGCAATTATCCTGCGGGCCTTGTTATAAATCCAGCATTGCTTTGCTGTAAAGAGTCACAGTTCTGATCAGCCCGAGGAGTTGGTAGAACAAGTATCTCCATTGGATCCCCCACTTGTAAACCTGCTCATTAAGAGATTTATAGAAAGAGGGGACCTCTGAAGCCACCAGCCCAGCCCTTTCCCCACTGATGTGGAAAGCACAGCCCACATGGTTATGGAGGAGCCCCTGCGCTGGGCCCTTGGGTCTCCTGGTGTCTGGCACACCTCAGACAAAGCTTTGCCCAGAGCAAGCAGCTCTGTCATCTAGGTGCCCAGGGTGTGAGCTTCCAGGGAGCCGGGCACACCCAGCCCCTGGTGCACACCCTGTTCCATAATCCCATTAAAGGACTGAATTTAGCGTCTCCCAGCATGTTAACAACAGCTGTATGGCTCATAATGAAAGTGTCTTTGTGTTGAGACCTCACCCAGGGCATCCAGGCACCGAGTCATGGGCAGTGGCCATGCCCAGGGCCACTGTACCCCCCAGAGCTTTCCACACATGGGAGATGCTGAGCGGGAAACCTCGGTGCTTCTCCAGCTGCTGAATGTTTTCATGGTGGTCCTTCACAGAGGCAGGAAACCCAGGCGTAAATTGATCCTTGCTGTATGACTGCGCGGTTAGCCCCATACCCGGGCTCCCTGGCGCCACACAAGAAGACACAGATGCTCAAAGCAAACCAAAAGCATCCTTAGGAAGAGGCAGTGGTGAGCACAGGCGGTGAAGGGAGCTAAGGCTGCTCCGTGTGCATGGAGAGGCCAGGCTTCCCGGGCAAGGGCAGCTTTTCACTTTCCATTAAAATAACCCCACTCAGCGCCTTATTTGTCTCCCTCTTTTGAAGCCAGTCCAAGAGTTTTCTCTGTGTAGACACAACTTGTGTTTTCTGCTTGGCAGCTGGAGTGGATTAATGCGGCTGCCAGCCTTCCCATCATGATGCTGTAGCAGACTGTAAAGTGTTATGAAGCGCGGGCTCAGGCGGTGATGGTGAATGTTTTGGATCTTGCAGGGACACAAGTAACCCACTGCGGCACGCGTGCTGTAGGTTCGCCATCCCTGGGCTAGGGAGACTTGTGGGAAATTTCTAAGCCTCAA